ATCGGATTCTGGCAATGATTTCTTGGCAGATCTACACACGCCAGAATTCTTGAATAACATCAAGTGTTCTGGAACTCCCAACCATGAGTTGCACCTGAAGGTCGGAACTCCAGTAATGTTGTTGCGAAATATGGACCATTCTATGGGACTGTGCAATGGGACACGATTGGTTGTGACTAAACTCTCTACTCATGTTCTCGAATGCAAGATATTGACGGGAGATCACGCTGGCGATAATGTGTTGATTCCTAGGATGAATATCATTCCATCTGATACACGGGTACCATTTAAGTTCCAACGGCGACAGTTTCCACTACAGGTTTCGTATGCCATGACCATAAACAAGAGTCAAGGACAGTCTTCATCGCACGTTGGTCTATTCCTGAAGAAACCTGTTTTTAGTCACGGCCAATTATATGTTGCTGTTTCATGTGTAACTAATAGAAGAGGGTTGAAGATATTAGTTTGTGATAATGAGGAGCTACCTAATAACCAAACTCATAATGTTGTGTACAAGGAGGTTTTTAATAATATATGATTGTTTCGTGACGAAACAATCTCTTTTATTTTTTAAATGTTCCTATGTATTATAATTTTTTTGATCCTAATGCATGTCATATTATATTATATTATTCTTTAAAATTCTCGAAAATGATACAGCCCCGTGCATCGCACGGGTTCTGCACTAGTAATAACTAGATAAGTGAATAATATTTATGAAACTGAGGATAAGACTCCGTCTTCATTTTACCTCTAAGAACTAACTAGTTTCGTGAGTAACATTATGAAAATTAAGGAGTGAGTGTGATTTTGAAGTGTTTCAGTATACTTAAAATTAAACTTGTGTAAAAATCAAATAAAAAATTGTCCACCTAAATTTTAATAAAACCCTATTAAGTTGTTTAAAATCATCTAAAGTGTTATATTTATTCTCTGAAAATATATTTTAAAACTTGTCAAATATGACATGCACTACACTTAAATGGATTTAATTGAGTTGAGCAACAAACATTTGCACGAGCTACTAAAGCGGGATCGGATATAAAATATATTTCTACACCTAAATTCAAATCAACTTTGTTTTTTTTTTTTGGTACAAAGGAAGAGGCTAGACGCCAGTGACGGACTTACATAGGGGCCCGTAGGGGCACGGGCCCCTGTAGAAATTTTTTAGTAATATAGTATATATGTGTTATAAATGTATTATTATATTGACATAAAAATAAATGTTATTAATTATTATGTAAATTTATTTCAATATAAGATAATAAAAAATGAAATATTTAGAATTATTTAAGCTTAAATAGTATGTTATTTTATAAGTTGTGGAATTTGTGTTTATGCTATACTCAACTTCATGTTTATTTCATTTTTTCCTCCAAAATACATAAACAAATCTTATACATAAATATATATATAGGGATGAGATCAAATATGTCTCTGTTCTTAAAATGAGAATGTGATACTCAATCCTAACTATTAAATAAAAAACAAGATGTCTGGTTAAGATTTCATCTTTTTATTTTTTTTTTAATTGGTTAAATATTGATTTGACTGTTGACAATTTGACATCCGACATTGACCTTTGACCGTTAACTGAAGTTTGTGCCGCCGTTGTCTTTAAGGGCTGCGTCTGCCCCTGCTAGATGCCTAGTGAGTTACAACACGGACAGATCGAGAGTAGACAACTCCAACAAGGTCATGCTGTAACCATTGACAGATCCCCACCGGCGGGTAATTAAAAAACTGGTACCCTAAAGGGCCTTCAACAGCAAAAGAGGCCAAGAAATCGGCCACATAATTAGCTTCACGGATTACATATCGTACCTTCAAATCAACTTTAATCCAACTTAGTTATATACTTTTTATCAATAAAATAAGAAGTATGAATTAATGATTTTTACGCATCGCTTCAACTTTTCAAACTCGAGTCAATCTCGAGCATCGAATCAAACTCCAGCATCAAGTCAATCTCGAGCATTTCCATTTGTTTGACGAGCCAAGCTTAAGCATTGAAAAACAAAAATCGATCTATGCTCCACAAGACCAATGCTCAACTCGATTCGTTTGCAACCCTAATCTCACCACAGGGCACGGCATATAAGCAATCACAACAATCTTACAAAAGAAACACACGACCACGCATAACAATATAGCAGGCCAAAAGACACGCGGAGGTCAGACAACAGTCAATAACAATAGAGATACTCAGACAACAAACATATAGTTCAAGTGCATCAGTTATTCCAATTTTTCATAATACGCGTCTGAACAGAGCACAACATTAAAAAAACCAAAGGGCATTTCAGATATGGAATAAATTCCATTCGAAGGCCAGAGAGATATAAATCGTTCAACGGAAGTAAACTGATATCTGAGGAATATCAACGTCATTATCCTCGTCATCCTCACATGCCACCACCACATCCAGGTGGTTGCGGCCAGGTGGCAGATCCACCTTAGCCACGTCCCTTGCCAGCTCAGCAACCTTCCTGTCCATACGCTCCTTATGCCGAGGGAACATGCTGTTGTACAGCAAACAGCTCCCGAACGAGATACTGTACGCATTCAAGCCCTTGTCAGAAAGCCACCGGAGAAGCTCACGGAGGGTTGGGTCACCTTTGATGATCCACCGATCCCACACGGTCCAGCTCATGTCCCGGTGCTTCACGACCTTGGGAGGCACAGGCTCGGCCATAGAGAACAGCGGCAGGGCAAGGTTGGCAAACGTGTTGCGGTAGTCCTCGAGCTTGTGGACCCCACTGATGGTTTTGTAGAGCTCGAGGCAGACGAGGCCGGTGGCCATGGCAGTTGAGGTGGCGATGGCAGGGATGATACGTCCTGCTATGAATTTGGCTTTCAGCTTGTCGACTTCCGGAATGCTGTAGTTTCGGGCCCGCATGTTGGCAAGCGCGGCTATCAAGTCCATGTGATAGTTTGTATCGTCATCCTGTGTGTGACGAGGGAGAGGGATTTTGTCAAACACAACATTGAATATGGCAATTGATGTTTGATTGAAGAGGGATTTTATCAGACACAACACATCGAATATGGGGATTGATTGTTTGATTGTATGATTGTTTTATCTCGGAAAATAGTCCTATAATAAATGATGATATCTCCAGTTATTATTCTCCTGTCTGCTTGATGTGCCTCTTGGCCACAACGTGAATTTTTATTTATTGTGGGCATTGTGCGCAAGTCAGTTGGAACAGCAAGTATACAATGATGAAAAGGCGTATAAAAAAGTAAAGAGTGCAGGTGAGAAGTGATGGATAAATAAATAGAAAATACAAGTGACATTCGTCAATGATCAGTTGCATTATCATCTTTGAATATGCAACAATGATCCAAGATATCGATGGTGAATATGAAAGTGGTTTGTGATGAGTACAAACGTGAAAAGTGATGACAATGAAAAAAATATTCATCTACTGTAGCTTTCCATATGTTATTGTCATAATGATTATTGATAATAGAGATTATCCGCCTATAAAACTATTCTGAAAAGCTATTGAGATAGCTAAACGAACATGGTTGGTCTTTAAGGCACACATGGAAAGCTTCTGGATAACATTTTCGGTGTAATGAGATTTAAGTTTTAACCTGCACCAAGGGGTAATATATATTACTGGCAAGTTCCAGAAACGAGAGACATACCTTTTCAAACTGAATTGGTTTCATCCTGAACTTAGCTGGCAAAGTCGCCCTAGATTTTTCCAGCTTCATAATTAATTCATCAATAACAGCAGCATCATCCACGGACGAAGTAGCAAGACTAGTAGCTTTTTCATCAGTAACAATTTTGACATCTTTTCTGGGTTGGAAATCAGGTACAATGATTTTATCAATAGCCTCAGCTAGTTTCTTAGGGTTCTTTGCCCAGTCAGGAATAGGAATGCCGAATGTCTCGGCCCGCAAAATAGATGCAGCCATAACAAAATGAAGATGGCTAGGGTCGGTGGTAGAAAACTGCAAGGGACGTGGAAAACGCTTCGGGGCTGACCAGAAAGGTGCACCAGTACTGGTTGCAGCATCTTCAGGGAAGGTGAATGTCAACTGCTTAACCCTGTTTGCAAAGTAATCCTCAAACCTGACAGATAATAAAAGAAAGTTAGAAAACAAATAGAAGTCACAAGTAAACTCAAGAAAATCATAATGTTTAGATTTACTTTAGCCGAGCCCACGTGATGCAATCTTGGAATGATTCACATCTTTCCTTGTCAAGGCACTCAATCACACGTTCTAGATTGTCTCTGGCTTGAGCATCCCCAGCATTTCTCATTGCAGATGCATACTCACCAGGATTAGAAAGAAAAGCATTTGCTTCAGCAGGTGTCTTTTCCAGCAGGCCCTCAAATTCTGATCGAGCCCATGTCAAGCAATGATCGATATTGTGTGGGAAGGAGTGGACAGTGCACATGGGTGCTTGTTTCTCTGGAGGATCTCGAGAAGCACCATAATTTTCAGTTAGATGGGGTATGACCATTTGGGTATTGCACTTGGCACCTAAGGTTCCAGACTCAAGAAGGGGTTTCTGGAAGTACAAGCATCTCTGGTCAACATAAAGCCTAGCATTTACATTGTCGAGGGCATTAATCACAACACTGAGATTCTCCCAGAAGGCATCATCAAAAACATTCTCTGTTTCCGGCCCCACCCGATTCTGTAAAGCTTCAATGTGAAGAAGAGGGTTTATTGATAAGGCAGCAGAAGCAGCAACAGTGGACTTCGGCTGCCCAATATTCCAGTTTCGAAAAAGGAATTGCCTGCTGAGGTTACTCTTCTCTATGACATCATCATCAGTGATAGTTAATTTCCCTTGTTTTCCACATGAAACTCCCATCAGAGCTAAATTTTTCAGAAACTCACAGCCAAGTGCACCAGACCCAACAACAAAGACCTTTGCATCTTCTAGTTTCTTTTGAAGCTTAGACCCAAAGACTGAAATCTGAGCATCGTAACGGCTATTTAAAGGTTTGAAATCACTGGGATCTGATGTATCGGTGGGAAGTGATTCTACGGAGTCGAAGTAAAAGAACTGCACAAACATGATATTAGAAAAGATTCAGCATTACATCATTTCTGCAGCAGCCCATATAGTTCGTGATAAATAAATTTATTGCAGAATAGCATGAGCTGTAGTATGAAAATGAAGAATCAAATTATTCACTTTTTCCAACAAAGTAGAATACCAAATATAAATAACACATATAGCAGGTGAACCAGCAAATATTGCTGCTCTTTAAGCAATAAAGGTGGCCAAAATAAAAATCAGATGAGTTCCAAGAGAATCCAGGGTATAAAATTCCTACCAATTTGACTACTCTTCCCAGCCATATGGACCCATTTCAGGCCATTAGAATTATGTTGTAATATTTTCAGACAATAAACTATTACTACGCCTCGAATGAAAATCTAATAAATGTAACATAGCCACCGCCAATAACACTGCCAAGTGCCACACCAACCAAAACAGGGAAAACAATACAAGAAATATATAGCCTAAACAAAATGAAGTGACAAAATATATAAGCACAGAAAATGATAATCACCTGAAATAGCGGATGAAACTTTCCAGAGCATGCTTTCACAACCTCCTGCCCCACAATGCCACCAAACATGGCAGCCATAGGATTCAGTACAGCTCGGGCACCGAAAGCAAAGTGTCGCAAGAGTTTTGGATTAATATCATCCAGTTTCCCATCACCTAAGCTCTCATTCATGTCGTTAGTTATAGATATCAATCTTTGAGCATCCTCTTCAGAACCAGCAACTGGGAAACGCCCAAATTCAGACACAAACTTATCTAGTGATTGGAATGCCAAATGCAAGAGGGGCGGCCTGTCAAACTTGGAGAAATCGGAAAGAAGGAAATCACCAGGATCTTTGATTGCTTCTTTCAGTGGCTTAAAGTTCAAAACCTTGGGCTGCTTTACCTGAGTCACAATACCACCTCTCTCATATGAACCAAAATTAGTTGTATCTTCCTCAAGGGTAAAAGAATAAGGACGAGCATTTTTTATTTTTCTTGGCTTTCCATCATTGAGTTCTGTCATTCCTCGAATTTCAGAGAACACAACTAAGTCGCCATCCTGGAACTCCAGTCTTTCATCATCCACACAACCCACAAGAGCAGGATTGTCGTTACTAATAGATGCAATGATACCTGAATGGGGTTCCTCACCATCGACATCAAATACAGTGAACTCAGGTCCAAAATCACAAAAGGCACTACCAAATAGGCCTCTCACTTCTGTCTTGATGAATGCTATTGGAGGCTGGTGGTTGTGGCAATATTCATTAAACTCAATTGCACGCTCCAAATCAATGTCAGTAAATACCACAGCCTGCATTTGTAATGGTTATACAGATTAGTAAGAAAAAACTGAACAATCCACCATATGTAAGCTATGTCAAGCAAACAATCGAATCTGGACTATCCACAAATATATATAAGCATCTACATATGCCTGAGGAAATGATCGTAAACTTTGTATATGTTGAATATGAGCCACAACTTAGCCCAATTGTGTAAGAGAACTAGTCCATTATCACCACTTTGCAATAATCTCAGATGTTATAGTGTTAAAGGATCAAGGATATCTACAAAACTTGGTGAGCAAACATTTTGTGCTCGCAAGGCATTTCAACACTATCAGGGTTCACATATCTGTACAAGGAGCACTTTTGCAAGATAGGATGGGTGCTTATTAAGACGAGGAAACAGAAAATTAACTTGAAATAATTGATCTCTGCAACACAAGACTACATGATATTCTCCAAAGGTTAATTATCAATGCATGGCCACAACTAGGACACCCTTGGTTTCGGGACTGTTCAAAGAGCACATACAAGCCAATATATTGCATTCCCCATGCTGCATCTAGATGTAAATTCCACATCAGAGCATTTTTTCAAAACTGTGAATAAAGATACTGTAGTTTTTATGAATGACATATATACTACATTTACAAAAACAAAACTGAAATGATCTTGACACACATTTAGTATTTCTGAAGCAAAATATAAATTACGTGAATAGAAACATTTAAACTAAGTGAATGATGCAACCAAAACACAAAGGCAGGTCTGAGTAAGTATGTTTGTAGGTATCTTATATCTAGACTTATCCGTCGCCAATTCAATAAAGGACACACACACATACACACACACACAAACAGTGAGGCAAGCAGTTCCAATTTGTAAATTGTGTCGGGAGTATTTTACCTGGAAATCAGAAAGTTGTTCTACACTCAATTTCGTAGTCAAAGTTGAGATAGCCACAGCATTATTGAGTTCTTGTAGTTTCTGAATTGAAGCGAGTGCCCTATTCTTACCCAAATCCTTTTCCGAGAAAACAAAGTTACTGGATAAATCCCACAGATCTACTGTGCCTTCATCATGCAATGTCACAGACTTCACACCAGCAAGGACAAGGTTCTTAGCTGCACGTTACAAAGTCCAGATATAATGACCAACATAAAAATTCCAGGCGAATTAACTTAAACTGATTCACTGCCATGATTCCAATGTTGCAGCCGAAACTAAAAACTCATAGCAAACTAGCTAGAAGAATAGAACTAAGAACACAAAAAATAAACCGCAGAGGTTAAACTAGATTGAAATATATGGTCAGCAAAAAGTTTATCACACCATAATACATCATACTCATGTTAAAAAAGAGAAATAGTAATCCACATTTCAACAGAACTGAATTAGAAGATCAACTGGCAACATGTGCAGACAAGTTCAAAATGGGAATAATCTGTTCACATTTCATCAAGTGAGCCCCAACATTTACTAAAGCTAACCACACAACACTGTAAAGTCAACAACAATAAGATCTGAGAATACGCACACCAATGTTCACCACTAAAATAACTGTACTGAGTAAAAATACAGTACTGTATCATTCTACAGACATGAATCTGATAGTGGAAATATCTCATACCAATCTCAGCCCCAAGGCCCTGCATTCCAGAAACAAGAACATTTGAAGCGAAAAGCCGCCGCATCGTCTCTCGTCCATACACCGCAAGCTGCCGGCTGTGCAGATCCTCATCGATATCATGGGTTTTTCCATTATCAAATGCCATTTCTGTGATTGTTAGTTCCTCCGAACTTCCGGCGGCCTTACTATTATTGTTCCCTACACCTAGGCTGTTAATGGTCTCACTGCAATTTGTCTCCTCAGTACTTTTGCTGTCGGTGAAGGACGAACAGAGGCGCTGCTTCTTGAGTAGGCTCTCGGAATCACGATCGTCAACAGCCTCACCTTCCCCTTGTCTCTTTTTAGGAAGCATATAGTGAAATAAGCTGCAGAAAACCCGTCCGATTCCCATCCAAAAACAAACAAACAAAATACAAAATCAGCACCAAAAAAAAAAATGTATAAAGAGAGCAATAACTCGGGATCCAAACGATTCCTCAAACGTTTTCAACAGTTTAAAAGAGATCGGCGGCTCTATCACCAGTTCATCCCTTTGATCTCGATGAAATTTACAGGAGAAAACAATCAAAAAATCACAATCCTACAATCAATGCGTCGTGGATACTTGTATCCATCTGAAAGCGTCTGATGATTAAAGAAGAGCAACGATTCGAAAGACAACAGAAGAAGCAAAGAGAGAATATTACCGATTACAGCTGCGGAGAGGAAGGAATGAAGCTCAACGAATGTTCGAGAAAGCGAGCTATGGAGGTCGAGCGACCATGGAAAGGGGAGAAATGTTGAATACTCGAAGAAAGTGGGGCTTTGATGGGATATATATATTTTCTTGCGAAACGGGTTTTAGGGTTTCTTCGAATTTACAATTTGAACCATAGCCCGAGTGTGGGAGACTCGGCATGGGCGTGGCGCATCTGGGTCCGTAAAAATGATAGTGCCAAATGGCAGTGGTTCAACAGTCCAGTAATAGTTTTTTGGTAATATGAGAAATAAAATACCCAATATTATTTTACTTGTTAAAAAATATGAGTATATTGTTGTTAAAAATATTTAAAAACATAAATTACCTTCTATATCGCCCATTTTTAATTTCTTGTAGTATGTGACATTGAAATAATATAAATGGATAATGATAATAGCTCAGGTGAGCCGATTTCGATTAGCTCGAGTGAGTCAATCCCAGTTAGCTTGGGTAACATGGTTGTTAAACCTATTAGCTCGGATAAGGTACGGTGACCTAACAGTAGCTCAAAATATATCCTTATTGTTTTAGACATAATATCAACGTACAAATGATATGCATAAGGGACCTAGAGACAATGTATCTGGTGGACCTATGGATAGTTAACATGTGAAGACCTAGGAGCAATGTATTTGGTGGACCTACAGACCGTTAACATATTAGAATTCAGGGACACAATGTAATTGTGGGAACCTACTGACATTCTAAAGTTTGTTTCCAACTCCTTTCCAACTCTTAGGTACTCTGGAATAGGAATTGGAAAAAGTTTGTTCCAAACTCCTTCACCTCCATTGGTTGGTGTAACCACCAGATTTGACTCATGGTTCTTTTAACAACCATCCAACTAGCAATACGGTCGCTAATAATTTTGTCGAAAAATCTTCGGTGACACTCTTCAGCATCGAATCGGATATTTTCGTGAACAATGTCGATAATTGAGTTATCCTTATATGATAATGAGAATCCCTTGAGACGTTGCGAGAGATCCTCATCTTGCCCGATGCGCGATTGATTTGCCATCAACCTAACCCTAACCCCCAAAAGATGAAACACTACAACGACTCTGTCCCCCAATAAATCAACTCAATTAAATTAAGAGGAGATATGAGTTATAGAGGCAAATAGGAATGAAGACGAAGAACACTATTGAGACGCTTCCCGGCGAGAGAATTCTTGACCAATTTATTGACCACACATGCTAAGATTTTAACTCCCTTAACAATCGCATTAATGATTCTAATTATAGTATTTTGTGGTCAATTCGTGAGAGTTTATGGAATCATTTCCCGAATGTTATGGAGTCAACTAATTTGACAATATAACAATATATTTCTACCCAAAAGTAAAGTGTAATCAGTTTAGAAAAATCTATAAAAAATGCACGATTAATATGGTATATCATACAGAATATGAAATATATTATCAAATCAAATATTTAATAATATAAAAATATTAATCTGCCACTAAATGGTAGTTGTACCAAATAATATAATAATATAATATTATTATATAACTCTGCCGATTTAATGAGAGTAAGACTTTCATGATTATTATGGTATAATCCATCAAAATAGAATGTGGAACACATTTATGGAATCAAATAATTTAATAATATAGAAATATTAATTTGCCAAAAAAAATAGTTATACCAATAATTTATAATATAATATTATTATATAACTCTGCGGATTTTAATGATAGTAGGACTTTTACGATTAATTATTTGTGCTAACAATATTTATATCTACCACGTAAATTCTATAATTTTGTAAATTATTGTGTAATATTTGTAATGATTACACATAAATATTTATAAATATAATTATTTCACATACCCGTGAAATAAAGATTACAAATATTTACGTCTGAAATGTTTGTGTTCTTGAGCGTTTACCAAATGAATATAAAGATTATTTTACATGTGAATAAATATAAATATTTTATCGTAGCACTATTTACATATGTAATTTTATACCCATAAAATATATATTAATATAATTTACGAATATGAAATTATATCTAATTATGAAAGATTATAATTAAATATTTATTGAATACATGCACCATTTACTAAGCTTATTTAAATAATGTTGGATATAATACAAGTACCCTATTACAATATAAATTACATATAAATCATAAAGTTTAAAATTAATTTACATATTTAATCTAATATAATTATTTCAATTATATTAAAGTATTTCATTAATTATACAGGCTTTACTGAAATTTCATATACCACTACACGTATGATGATATACTTAAAAAACCGGATTAAATGTTTTAAAAAGATACCCCATAATATTTGATTAAACACTAAATCCGGCTGGTTGGAATAATTCTATTTGATTAAAAGCACTATTATTATAGAATCAAATATTATGGAGTATCTTTTAAAAGCAGTATTATTATGGAATCAAATAATGTAACCACGATTCAATCTTTTTAATTCAATCTTATATCTCTTTTTAAAATAAGAATGATTGAACAAAATAAGATATACTCAAAATCCAAGGTAACAACTTTTCTTATGCTCAATATATAAAATTAAACTTCACTCGATAAATTATATAATTAGTATTTATTACAATATTACATATTTTCCATATAGTTTTATTTCGTGGTGGTAACATTCCGAAGGTCAACAAAAAATTACAAGAATGAAGTGTCTAT